AGAAACAACACTTCACATTTTAATACTCTTGGCCACAAGTTTCTATGGCTTTGTAGCAGTGCTTTTTTACTTACCCTCATATTTGTCCTTCTGAGATCGTCATATTCATTCAGCCTAGTGTGAATATTTCAAGTTCCATCCATACTGTAGCAATTATCAAGATTTCATTTGTCTTACTGGCTGAGTAGTATTCCGTTATGTGTATGTGCCACATTCTGTCTATCCATTCTTCCTCTGATTTGCATTTTGATTGTTTCTATCTTTTGGCTATTATGAGTAGTGCTTCAGTGAGCACTGGTACACGTATCTCTGTTTAAGCCTCTGCTTTCAAATTTCTGGAATATATCTCTAGAATTGGAATTGCTGGATCTAAGGTTAGTTATTTGAAGAGCCATTACACTCTTTTTCACCAGAAATGGGTAAGGGTTCCAATTCCCTTAAGCCTGCTCAACAGTTGCTATTTTCTGTTTTCCCATTTCAGCCCTACAGGGGGACTCGATTGCAGTGAGCTTGATTTGGGGTTGGGTTGTCATCCTAGTGGGAGTGAAATAGTACCTTGTCGTGGTTGTGCTTCCATCTTTGATTTGAGGCTAATGCTGCTGAACATCATTTGATGTGTTTGTTGGTCATTTGAGTGTCATAATTCATAAAATCACTATTTAATTCTTTTGCCCAGTTAGGATTGGATTATTTGTCTTTTTCTTGTTGTCAAAGTTTTACTATTTCAGTTATTGGAATTCCCATCAGATATATGGCTCCTCAAAATATTCTCTTTCACTTTTGGGGTAAGATCTTTTCTTTTTTTTAAATTAAAAGATCATCTTATTTGGGGCTCTTACAGCTTTTATAACCATCCATACATTAATTGTCTCAAGCATATTTGTACATATGTTGCCATCATTATTTTCTAAACATTTACTTTCTTTTGAGCCCTTAGTATCAGCTCCTCTTTTTCCCCATCCTCTCCCTGACCCTCATGACCCCTTGATAAATGATAAATTATTATTATTTTCATATCTTACACTGACTGCTGCCTCCCTTCCCTCACAGTTTCTGGTGTGTGTCCCCCTGGGTGGAGTATTATGCGTCCATCGTTGCAATCACTTCTCCATCCTCCCCTGACCTCCCCACCTTCCCCCTGCCCTCCTGGTATCGCTACTCCCATTCCTGTTCCAGGATTTCGTGTGTCTTTAATTCTTATCTCTTCTCTGTACCTGTGCACATGCTCTGGTATAGCCCGCAGTGAAAGGCAGGACTGGGGTCATGATAGTGAGGGGTGAGGAAGCCTCAAGGAACCAGAGGAATATAGTGTGTTTCATCGGTGCTTTGCTGTGACCTGGTTGACTCAATCCCTTCCTTGTGACCCTTCTGAGCGGATGTCCCATTGTCTATAGAAGTGTTCTGGGTTTCTGCTCTAACCGCACCCCCCTACCCCCCACCCCGCTTCTCAACAATCTCTTTTGTTTGTTTGTTCATTTTGGGTCTTCTGGTGCCTGTTACCCAATCCCATCGACACCTCATGATCGCACAGGCTGGTGTGCTTCTTCATGTGAGCTTGTTGCTTCTCTGGTCGATGGCTGCTTGTTTAACTTCAAGCCTTTAAGACCCCAGACACTATTTCTTTTGATAGCCAGCCACCATCAGCTTTCTGCACCACATTTGCTTATGCATAGGGTAAAATCTTTTGGTGAACTAAAAGTGTAAAAATTTTTATGAGGTCCCATTTATTTATTTTGTCTTTTGCGGTTTGTACTGTTCGTATTAGATAATCTATTGTTAAAAGATATGCCTGACAGTGTTGTTGTGCTTTGTCAGCTAATAATTTTATAGTTTCAGTTTGCACATTTAGATCCTTATTTTTTGTTTTGAATTTTTAAATTTGTTTTCAAGTATTGTAAGAGACCTAGATCCTGGTTTGTTTTTGGTTTTTCTAGGTGGAAATTCAATTTTCCCAGCTCTGTTTTTTTAAGGGCGCCCTTATGGCATAGTGGGCTGCTCGTTGACCTGCTTACTACAAGGTCAGCGGTCCAAGCCCCCTAAGTCACTCCTCAGGGGAAAGATGAGGCTTCCTACTTCTAAAAAATAAGTCTTGGAAACCCAAAGTGGGCCATTCTACTCTGTCTTATAGGGTTGCTATGAGTCAGAATTGACTCCTTGTCTTTGAGGTTATTTATTGAAACCCCAAAAGCAAACTCACTCAATACGGACTCATAGTGACCCGCTGTGGGTTTCCGAGACTGTAACTGTTTATGGGAGTAGAAGGACCACTCTTCCACCAGGGGAGCTGCTGGTGGTTTTTAACTGCCGGATGGATCGCAGCCCAATACGAACCACACCACCACCAGGGCTCTCTTATTTCCCCATCAAATGTACTTTGTACCCTAGTCAAAAACAAACAAAACTCACAGCCATCAAGTAGGTTCTGACTCACAGAGCCCCTACAGGACAGGGTAGAACTGGCCCTGTGGGTTTCGGAGGCTGTAACTACAGGAGTAGAAAGCCTCATCTTTCTCTCTCAGAGCAGCTTGTGGTTTCTAACTGCTGATCTTCCGGTTAGCAGCCCAATTTTGTAACCACTAAGCTATCAGAGTGCCCCTTTCATCAAGAAAGAGTGTTTGATTGTATCACATCCTTTTTCTGCATCCATAGAGATGATCATGTGTTGTTATTGTTTACCTCCCTCTCTCTTGTTCTGTTGATGGGGCATATTACAGTGATTTTTGGGTGTGAATCACCTTGCATTTCTGGGATAAATCTAACTTGGTCATGGAGTATGACTTTCAACATGTGGTTGAGGATCTACCACTAATTTTTTTGTTGCAAATGTTTACATTTCCATTCATTAGAAACATTGGCCTGCATTGTTCTTTTCTTGTGTCTTTGTCTGGTTTTAGGCTCAGGGTTATGTTTGCTTCACAGAACAAATGAGACGATGCCTTCCTTCTCTGTCTTTTGGGAGAGTGTACAAAGCATCAGTGTCTGCTATTATCTAAGTGCTTGTTAGAGTTCTCCAGTGAAATCACCTGGTCCAGGATTGTTCTTTTCCTTCGGAGAGGTTTTTGACTACTGATCTGGGTCAAATCAAATAGAATGTTTCTATTGCATCTTGAGTCACTTTGAGTAGGTCATGGGCTTTCCAGTTTGTCCATGTCATCTAGGTTGTCGAGTTGACTGTCATACCATGATTCATCATGCTACCATAATTCTCTTCATTCCTATCAGGTCAGTTACAAGGTCCCTTTCATTCATTATTTTGGTTATTTGCAACCTTTCCCTGTCCACCTACCTAAACGTTTGTTCATTTTATTGATCTTTTCAAAGAAGCAATTTCTGGTTTTATTGATCAGACACAATTTTTAAAGGACTCTCTTGCCAAAGACATGAAGCTGTGTCAAGGATGAGACAAACAGCCTTGATTGGGCCTGGCTTGTGTTGTCTGGCCCCAGAGATTCTCACTGGCCAAGTTAAGCAGTTGGGAGGTATACATTGTTTAAAGACCCTTAAGATAGACCCTGGTGACAGATAAATATTGTACAAGGAGCCTTGCCCATTGAGAGCAGTCTTTGATAACACCGGCTCTGTTTACTAGATCCAAAGGAGAAATCTAGTAGACATCAC